CGCGGGGCCGCGCTCGGAGAGAGGCGCACGAGGGCGCTAAGACGGTAGGGCGCACGTGGGCACCTCTAGCGGAACGGTGGGCCCTTAGGTAATCGGTCCTTGGTCCCTAACCTAGGCTCTTAATACCATGTTAGAAATGAGAAGTGTTTGAACTAGGAACAAATGGGAGTACAAGTACCAAACCCTAGAGTAGTGTACCCCCTAAAGGCTAACCCACTGTAGCCTACACAGCTATAACATATATAATGTTTGACAAGGTCCTGTTCATCCGTTCTGCCACACCTTGCTGTTAATACTGGTAAGGTAGCGACTGCAGCTTCTTGATTCCCCTTTCAGTGAGGTAGGTTCTGAAGCGCTGTGAGAGGTACTCTAGAGCACCATCAGTCCGAAAACTCTTCAGCTTCAGATCGCTCTCCCGTTCAGCTGCAGGTAGCCATGCCACGAATGCTTCGTAAGAAAGATCACGCGAAAGGATAAGCGCGTGCCAGCCGTAACGTGTAGCAGCGTCGATGTAGGTAATAACGTAACTCAAATCAGCTCGTCCTTCTTGCCCTGGTATCACCAGAATATCACTATAAACTTTCTCCAGTGGCTTGTATGCAGGAACACCCGGGTTATGATGGGACAGAAACGGTTGTCGAGGCAGATCAGCTTCAAGACACAGCATGCGGATGTGTCGAGGCTGGCGCAGCTCCTTTCCATCGACAATAAGAAGAGCGTCTTTGTGAAGAACTCCCGTGCAAATCGTGTCGTAAGTTGTATTTCCGCTCGGATGTCCTAACCGCTTGTGCCAAATTTCCTCTGAATCTGCATGTTCCGCAGATCGATGATACAAGTCGGAGTTGGCGTAGAAGGCGACAAAGTTGGCCGGACTCCGGTGTGACTCGTCGTTCACTGTACCGCGTCGAGTAGCAGAGGTGTCGATGACAAGAGGACCAGTTGAGTGTGATGAGGTTGACGGTAAAGACGGATGTTGTATCTGTTCTGCTTCCCCACTGGTACTCATAGTCTATGCTGCTGCTTGTGTTGTTTCAGGTGTACCGGCTCCAGAAGTTATCAGCGTTACATCTTCGCGATGAAACCCAAGATGGTCCGGTTGAGTATTAAGTTCTTTGCGATGGCAATCTATCCAAGAACCAAAGGCGAGTATGCGGTCGCTGTTGGCAGAAGTTCCACCTCATTCCACGTTGAGTACAAACACGACGTCTTGCTGTACTGCTCGTGCAACGTAGAAGCCTCCCTTCGTAGAGTAAAAAAGATTGTAGCCGAGGCCAGGCACGATGAGGACATTGGAGAGCTGTATGACTGTGTTTGTTTCCGGCAACTGAAGAAGAACTGTGCCTTGGCGTCGGGTACGTAGAGTCTGATTGTTGGCGACCGTTACTGTAACTTCCTGATGTAGTCGTGTTTAATGTTTCACGTAGAATCCGTTGTTAACCCATGTCGTGGACATGTGTTGTGCACAACAACTGTCAAGAAACCGAACACATGGTCCGTATTCAGAGGTAGCTGCGACGCTGGCGTACTGTGGGTTTACTTGAAGATGTGTTGGAACTTCTTCCGGAACTTCATATGGAGCAAAGATTGGAGGTGAGCCCGGGATGCACGAATCTGTGCGAGTCATCCAGGCTTGCACAGTCCTCCCCTTTGCTAGTGCTGACGTTGTCTGTTGATTACTCTGTGCAGCTGTTGCAGTAGTTGCTGCAATCTGTGGAGAAGCAGCGGCTGGACGTTGAGGTGTTGTCTGCTGACGCTGAGGGCAATGATCTCGAGAGTGACCGGAAGTCTTACAGTTGTGACATAAAAAAGGAGGTACGGCTTACTGCTGCTGCTGGAACTGCTGCTGCTGTCGCGGCTGCTGTTGTCGCTGCTTCTGCTGCTGCTGAAAATGTTTCTGTCGTTGCTGCTTTAACGGCTCCAGTTGACTGTGTGTTATAAAGGCGAACTGATTAACCTTCTTATTGCCTTTACTGTCGTAAAGATCCATGTCTTGCTGTTCAGCAGGAAGCGTTGCGCAGAGATGCATCTTCGAGACATTTCCTTGAGTACGGAGAAAAGAGCGCGTCTGACGCCACTGAGGTCCAAGCTCGGCAATGACAACTGTCACAAACATGGACTCAGGGAAGTTCCCACCACTTTGATTAAACTGGTCACGCAGCTCTCTCATCTGTTGATGTACTGCACCGCATGCTCTCCTGCCTTCATCTGCACGTTGTTCAACCGCGACATGAGTCTGCTCTACGTTACACAGTCTTTTGCTTTGTAAAGCCGCTTCAAATGTTGCCTTGCTAACTCGGCTGAATTCGAAAACTCCCTGTATGATCTGATGCCTTGTTGTTCAGTAGGTGACAGATTACGAAGAAGAATCGTATGTCACCAAATTTGCACTTTGTGCATATACGATAACAATTGGGCACCGACGTACTTGGTAGTGTAGCAATTGCTGTATCATGTTTCAAGGGTGGGTAGTTCGGGGGGACATTTGGGGTTGACGCGAAGTTGGTGGGCAGGTCAAGGGAACACCAAGGGGGTGCAATCTAACGAACCAATCTGGAGCAACTGGGCCCAAGCCCGAGGCGCACATTGGGAAATGTGCGACTCAGGCCTCAGCAAGGAAAGTTCAAGCAGCACACACCCTCTAGTTGCTTTCCGCTTGTTATCCTTTCGTATAGTGGAACGTTGTTACCTCAGTTCTTATAGCCAGTGACACACCACTCAGGGAGGACCCTTGGGTTGAGAGTGATATTCTTTCATAACAAGCGGAAAGGGAGCACAGAATAAGAAGGGAGTGCAGTTGAAGGAGCACCAGACGAACACAGCAGTAATCCGAGGGACAGGGCCTCAGCGCAACGGTCCTGTGACCCGCGCTCAAGCTGCTCAAGCACGGGCACATGAGGGGGCAGGGAGTGGCTGAGGCAGAACAAGAACATTCAAGAAGAGGAGAGGCAGAAGAGATGAGACGAAGGGCAGGTGCAAGGAAGAAGTGATTCTCCGACACGTAAACGCCATCATCGACTGAAAGGTGAAACCGCGCTGTGCATCCGGTGTGCCATTCATTGGGAATTGAATTTCCCCGGTGAAATATTCCCATATTTGTATTGCTTCTATCATGAGCTCAAACTCAAATCTCCAAGCGAAGAAGTATTTTCCGTCGAAGAGTCTTGAAGTCTGAAACTTCAATATGTCTAACATCTGCGCTTGATAGTTTGTTGCATCTCTCACTCCGAAACCATCCCCATCCTGTTGCTGTTGTTGCTGCTGTTGCTGTTGCTGTTGCGCAGGTGCACTTCGAGGCACAAACGCGTAGGTGGAGGCGGAGCACGGTAAGAAACCGGTTATTGCCGTATATATGATGTTCCGTCAATACTCATTGGTGTTGTTCCCATGTTTACTGACGATGATGATTGTGGTGCTTGTTGTACTTGTGCTGATGCCATGAACGCTGACATGGCCTGGAAAATCTGTTGTTGTATCACAGGATCGAGACCGGCTGCACCATTGCCTGCAGCGGAACCATCTCCTATTGCAGCGTTAAACGTGAAGGACTGGGACGATCCTCCAACGCCTCCTGGTCCAGTTGCAGATGCAGCTGTTGGAGCAGGGCTGGCAAAGGACACTCGTGAAAAGCCAGAGCCAGGTAGTGGTGGTGCAGAGGGCTGCTGCGAGCCACCACCTCCACTTTGCAAGTGGGTTCTACCGTTGTTGCTGGCCGTCATGATTGTAAGACTGCCCTAGTAATGAAGACTTCAGTAATCTCTGAATCTGTAGAAACTAGGAGATCGTAAACTCTCCTGCTCTCATACCATGTTGAACTGAGAAATGCCTTAGGATCTTTTAGAGCTTAGTCCTTGTAATATTATGCAGCAAAAGACTGGAATTCCTGTGCTGGTCAAGTGTGAGAACAAGAATTGATAATAAAGTAGAAATACAAGAGATTTGTAGTCTATGAAAGTACCTATTCACTGATTTACCTGTTCATGAAACGGGCTAAATATCGAGTCGACTCTATGAAGCGGTATAATCATGTGTCATGCGAACAGTCGTGAGACTGTTCGCACTATTGCATGTAACTCACGCGAAGGGACACCTGCTACAGTAACATGCACACGTATAGTAATACTACGATACTATTGTAGTTGTATACTATCGAACTACTGAATTGCATAAGTCAAAATTCTTTGTCCAACAGACAGGATAAGGAACCAAAAAGGTCTTACCATAGTTGGACCTTTCTCATAGAGAATATAAATAAATATATGATCATAACAAGGCACTACATTGGAAATACGTAGTCATATCTATGTAGCGGGAACGTTTAGATATGAAGGAACATTTCTTTGAAAGGTCCATGTATTTCCTTGAGTAGTCATATCTATGTAGCGGGAACAATTCTCATATCTACTTTGAGGGAACATTTCCTTGAATAGTTTCGAAAGTAGCGGGTTCAGTTGGGTGATCAATATTACAGTGGATGGAACTGTCGGCCGGGTTAGGGCGTCAGCGATAACGCTCGTGCCCTTTTTGTGGGTGATGCAGTAGTGGAAATGTAACTCTATGTTGTCAAAATATATATATTTTTGTGCTAGGCTATAATGAGGCATGCTATAGGGAGTACAACATTGCTAGGGTTTGCTACTTGTATCCAACCCTTGCTTGTATTCCATCCTGCTGTTCGTACTCCTTGACATGGTATCAGAGAGTACGTTAGGTCCGTGCCTACTGCCATTTCCTACTGCCCGTCACTGCTATAACGTTGTACTCCCCCACGCTACCACGCTACCCTGCCCTGCACACTCTGCCCTGCCCTGCCCTGCCCTGCCCTGCCCTGCCCCGCGCACCGCTGCCCCGAACGCTTCTGCCCCGCGCCACCGCTTCACGCACCACTGCCCTACGCACCACTGCCCTGCGCGCCGCTGCCTCGCGCGCCTCACTGCCCAGCGCACCGCTGCACCGCGTGCCCCGCTGCCCCGGGTGCTGCTGCCCAGCGCGCCGCTGCTCTGCTACCCCGCGCGCCCCGCTGCACCACGCGCCCCGCTGCCCTGCGTGTCCAGCGCGCCCCGCTTCCCTGCGCGGCACTGCACCGCGCGCCACGCTGCCCCGCGCTCCCTGCTGCCCTTCGCGCCCTGCTTCCCTGCGCGCACTGCGCTTTGCTGCCCTGCGCACCCCGCTGCTCTGCGCGCCCCGCTGCCCTGCGCGCCCCGCTGCCCTGCGCGCCCCACTGCCCTGCGCGCCCCGCTGCCTTGCGCGCCGTGCTGCCCCGTGCGCTGCTGCCCGTGCGCCTCGCCTGCCCCGCGCGCCCTGCTGCCCTGCGCGCCCTGCCGCCCGTGCGCTGTGCCTGCCCCGCTGCCCTGAGCGCCCTGCTGCCCTGCGCGCCCCGTTGCCCTGCGCGCCCCGCTGCCCTGCGCACCCTGGTGCCCTGCGCGCTGCTGCACCGCACGCTGCTGCCCATGCGCCCTGGTGCGTTACACCGCAGCCGCTGCCGCCCGTGCACTGCACCGCCACTGCTGCGGCCCTTGCGACACTGCTGCTTGTGTGCCGCTACCGCCTGAGCGCCACTGCTGCACCGGGCCATGCTACTGCTCACCTACTGCGGGGTTGTATCCCGAGCCGCAGTCCATGCCTAGATCCTAGTGGTGCTGCCTGACTTATATCATGGCGACTATCACCGTCCTAGCGGTTGACGCAGACGGGCGCCCTCTCAAGTTTGAGTCGTTAGAGCGCCTGATCATGTATCTCCAGCGTTTCATTTTTTATGGTGTCCCCCTGTTCGAGCACACGTCGGGGTCCCTTCAGGCCCCCACGACTCCAACTGAGACTGCTGCTACCGCTGGGGAGGAAGTGCAGCGGCGGTACCGGGCGGACCGCATTGCCTGCACACGGTAGACGACGCGCGACGCTGTCGCCCATCTTGCTGTCCGCGCTCACCTGTCGCTCGACCAGAGGGCCTACTTTTGCCAGGTGACATTGGCCCAGACTTTCTACGACGCTGTGGTTAGGCACTACTCCTCCCTCTCTCTCTTGCCACCCTAGGCCGTCTCACGCTGCCGTTTCTCCTCCCCGACCTGTCATCGCTAGCTTATGGGGGTGGAGGTTCTGGGGGTGGGCAGCAGTAGCAGCAGCAGCAGCAGCAGCAGCAGCGGCGGCGTCCGTTGTTATGAGAGCTGCAACAGCTGTCGTCGCTGGCGTTTGTTGAGGAGGCGAGTGTAGGTGCTTGTGAGTCTGCTAGCACAGGCGCAGTTCATGCGGAGGATTTGCACACCTTCTCGCTTGACTCGGGCGCGTCTCGCTGTTTCTTCCGCGACAGCACCACAGTCACACCGCTCACAACACATGTCCCTGTCACCCTGGCCGACCCCTTCTCTGGCCCAGTCTTTGCACGCGGCTCCACTGTTCTCCTGTGTCCTGCAGCCCCCTCTGGCTCCCTCATAGGTTCCCACTTCCCCTTGTTGGCAACGAACTTGGTGAGTACCTCTGTCCTCTCCAGGATATGTTGGTCACTACCATCACTCCTGGAGGCGAGCTCGTGGCGATCTGTATGGACACAGTGACTGGCGACCACCTCGCCACGTTAACTCGGAGGCATGGATCTGGCTTGTACACACTGCACACTGAGTCAGCACAGGTGGCCGCGTCCGGTCAGGTAGCTGTGTCCTGCTCGTGTCGGTAACTATTTTTGTTTTGTTTTTCTTTGTGTTTTTTTTTTTATGAAAGATACACCTAAAGAAGTGCACAATACATCGGCAGTCGTAACTGTAGCTGGTGGGCCTAGGAGGCATGCGCCTGCCATACCCACCCTGACCTTCTAAGGGGGACAGAAGGCCGCCTTCGGGTTCGACCACAGGGACATAAAACCATTCGTCCACGTGGCCGGCTTCACTGACGTGTCCCAAAATCTGTCCGGGATTCGGGGCTCATCCTCGTCCAGACTGGCACGAGCAGCACCCAACATCCGCTTTACCGCCTTAGCCCGAGTGTAGATCTTGACATGCAGCTGGAAGGCTGACGCGATTCTCCGCAAGACCCTTCTTGCCCGAAACTTGCTCCGCTCAAAGACCGCATCGCACATTTCCACCCAGATCTTATGCAGAGCGATTGACGTTATGGTAGCCTCGGGAAAACCAGAGCCTGACGCCCCCCGCTGGAAAAGGAGGTCGCCCAGCGACTCAATCTTCCTTCCCGGATTGAGCATGCGGATTGCACCAAGGAGCGCCCGAACCACTGGCTGTATGCGCGGGCACTGAAAAAGCGCATGCTCCAGTGTTTCCTTCTCGCCGCAGTGCGCGCAGGCAACCGCAGCCCCGAGAAAATGAATCCTCTCCCCCACTTGCAGGTTCCGGCTGTATATCCGGAGCAGCACATCCCGCGCCCGGTTCGGGATGGCTTCCGAGTCACGCACGCTTATCACTCTTCCCCAGTTGATCGGATGGCCCAGCAACTCCTCCCAGGCCGTCTGTTGCTTCGAATTTCTTCCTTGCCTCGCGAAACCCTTACGGAGCTGTCTGAGTTTCGCTGGACCGTCCTTGTCCCAAATTGGCGAGCACAACAGTCTTGCTTTGGGGTCCCCCGCGGGCCCCAAGAGTCGCCCCTCTCGGAAGACAGCAGGAACCACGTCACGAACCTGGAACGTGCAGTAGCGCTCCTCCGCACCCCCAGCACCCCAGAGAAGCAGCTGACCGCTTGGCAGACTAGTGAGTTCCCATCCGCACTGACAATCTTCCACAAGCCATGGCGGGTCCCTGCTTTCAGCACGAAGCCAGACACCTCCATCATTTTCCCCGCCGTGACCGGCGCCAGCAACAACTGCTTCCACTCATCCGGGGCCGCGTCGAAGATGCGTTTAGCCAGCAACCCTCCTGCCTTTCCCCCGAAGGTTCTTTCCACTTCCTCCTCGTTTTTTAGCGTCCTGGAGCCATCCGAGCTAACGACGATCAAGTCCCGCATAGTTGACCGCCTCAATCCCGTCACTGCCTTTTGCTTCCCCGCAGGTTTTTTCCCATTCGGCATGAGGCGGCGATTGTACAGCAGCAGAGACCGTCGACGCCGTGATTCCTTCCGCAAAACTGGACTCCAGGAAAAGCTCGCAGGTACGTTTCCACCGCTCGCTTCGCCCCTTCCAATGCTTCATCTGACTCGAGTGTCCCCAGAAAGCCTGAAAATCATGAATGTCCACCGCTTCTGCTGCCAGGTCCGCACGCAACCCCGCCTGTTGTGACACCAGGAGCGCCACCCGCCTGGCGGCGTACCCCCCCAGGTCTGTGAAAGGATCCCGGACGCCCAGGCCCCCTTGGCTCCGTGTTTTGAACAGCAGCTACTGGCTCCATAGAGCAAACTGATTCCCCGCCGTCGCATGGTTTCCGGACACGAAGTTGTGGAGCAGCTTCACGATCTTCGCCCATATCTACGGAGGGGGCGCGTACACCTGCGCTTGAAAAGCGAGAATGGGGTTCACGTAATCGTTCACCACCGCTACCCTCGCCATAGTGCTCAGGTAATGGATCTGCCATTTCCCGAACTCCGCGGTTGCTCTCTCCAGTGTAATTTCCCATGTTATCGCCGCGTCCCCCGAGGGCGAGATCCACACCCCTAAGAGCCGTTCCGCTTCGTTAGGCTTTACCCATCTGAAAACTGAGTCCTTGTCCGGCTTCTTGAGCAGGTTACTCCCTAGCGGGAGGAGGGCCGACTTCTCCCTGTTTACACGAAGCCCTGACCTCTCCCCGAAATCGTCCAGCAGTTTCACCGCCCGTCCATTCTGACGCTTGCCATCCAACACCAAAGTCGTGTCATCCGCATACCCTAGGTAGGCCAGGCGTCCTCCGTATGGGTCGCTGATGCCTAACTTCCTCCTCTTCGCTTCCTGGCAGATCGGCTCTACCCTTGTGTCGGTTACTCACGCACCCGTCCCTCCTCTGGCACCACCGTCTTGGTCACCCCTCCTTGCCACGCCTCCGCAGCATGCACTCGCGTCTCCTTGTCTCTGAACTCCCCAGGTCCCTGCCCCCACTCCCAGGGTCGCTTGCCCCGTCGTGCACTCAATGCGTCGAGGGGCGGCAACGCGCTGCTCCTCACTCCTCCTGGATTCCTCCGACCAATGCTCCTCTGCCGACGCTACACATGGACGTGTGGGGCTCCGCCCCCGTCTCTGGGCCGCACCGGGAGCGCTACTTTTTGCTGATCATTGACAACTTCACGCGCTACACCACCGTGTTTCCTTGCAGCGCAAGGGAGACGTCCGTGCTGTTTTGATCCCTTCGATCCCCACTGTTCGTAGCCAGCTTAGCGCACGGTTCCGCCAAAACCTCCCGGTGCTCCGTCTGCACTCTGGCCGTGGAGGTGAGTTTTCCTACCGTCTCCTCGATGACTTTTGTCGTGAGGAGGGCATCACCCAATCGTTCACGCCTCCGGCCTCTCCACAGCAGAATGGGATCGCTGAGTGCCACATTGGCTTGATCATGGAGGTTGCTCACACCTCCATGATCCATGCGGCTGCTCCCCATTTTCTGTGGTCGTTTGCGGTCCGATACGCCGCGCATCAGCTCAACCTCTGGTCTTGTGTCTCCCCTCGCACTGCGTCTTCCTTGGCTTTCCTAACGACGCGCCTGACTGGCAGTTTTACCACCTGGTCACGCGTCGCGTCCTGCCTTCCCGATACGTCACCTTTGACGAGTCGGTTTGCTACTACCGTGTCTTCCCCCACCGCAGTTCCCCGGTGCCCCCCCTACTCCTCTTCTTGGTTCCAGGTTACCCCCCGGTAAACCCCTCCACCCTTCCTTCACGTCCTGCTCCCTCAGGTGTGTCTCAGGTCGCACCGCCTGTTTCATCGACGAGGAGCAAGGCGGTCGAATCCCGAAGTCGCCGGTCTCCATCGACGCCTACGCCGAGCTGACGTTCGACAACGAGGATGCTCAGGCGCGCGAAGAGGAGGATTACCGGCAGAAGGTCGGCTCGCTGCAGTTTGCGGCGGCAACGACGATGCCGGCCATCACCTTTGCCTGCAGCAAGCTGGGGAGCGGCCTGACGGTGAGAAGCGACTAGCACTGGTGTGAGGTCGACTGCTTCCTCGCCTACCTCACCGACACCCGTGACACCACCCTAGAGTTCGGCGGCGGACCAGAGTCGCTGAGTCTGGTCGGCTACGTGGATGCCGACGACGCCGGCGACAAGCAGAACCGAACGAGTACGGACGGCTACGTGTTCGTCTTCGGAGGGGCCGCTGTCTCCTGGTCGAGCCAGCGCATCAAGTGCGCGACGCTCTCGTTGACCGAGTCAGAGTACGTCGCGGCCACGGACGCCGGCAAGGAGGCATGCAGACTTCGATTCCTCCTTGCAGAGTTCCAGCTGCTTGGCGCTGGGACGCCGACCGTCCTCCGGGTGGACAACAAGTCGGCCATCACAGTCGCTGAGGGCTTGGGGCTGAAGGGCAACCTCAAGCACATGGAGCAACGATATGGCTGGCTGCAGCAGATGGTGAAGCGCGGGAAGTTTGTGCTGAAGTATATCCCGACTTCTAAGCAGCCGGCCGACTTCCTGGCGAAGGCGCTGCACTTTCCGGCCTTCAACAGGTGGTCCGTCGCAATCGGCCAAGTGTGTCTGGCCGATGTCAGCGACTATGACGATGACGTGCAGCAGTAGGTGCCATGCCCTTCTGCATGGCTGGTGCGGTGACGGCGTGCTGTATGTTGGGTGCACGCCGACGAAGAGTTTTCTCCGTAGAGTTCAGCCGTGCGGGTGCCCAAGCGTGAGCGCGGCAGGGGAGTATTGACGGGAATTGGGTGTTGGCCCCGCCCTCTCTTGAGCAAAGCCGACTTTGTGGTTGGGTGCCGGGAGGTGCGGCCGACGGTCCGCAGAGGTCGCCGCCAGCCTGGGCGTGCATGTAGACAAAGTTAGTCGACCTGCAAAAGACCGTTGCAACGCCGCCGTCGACAGGAGCCAGCGGCTTATTTCGACGGGGAGGTCGACCTATGCGCGGGACTGTCGAGGGGTCGTCGTCGGTGGGAGCTCGACGGCAGCAACTGACCGAGTTGGTCGACGGAAGTGTCCCTCGACCAGGGTGGTCTTCGACGGGAGCAGTGGTCGACAAGGGAGGTCGTCGACCAGGGCGCCGGGTGGCCGACCTGGTCGACCAAGCAACCTCCTCGATGAGGTTCTGCGGAAGCACACGTCCGCCATCGAGGCTACGATGGCGAAGGCGACCTCGGGCTGGTATCCCGAGGTCGACGTGGAGCTTCTGGCGCAACTGTCGGCACGTGACCGACTTGGCACCTGCGCGACGGTAGAGAACGTGCTCGACCGTTGACGTGCACCTGCGAAGTGGGTGCGCACATGCGCTATTCTCACCTGCGGTTGCAACGCTGGCAGATCGCTCTACGGTAGCATTGGCAGACCACCTTGGTGCAGCGTTGGCGAGCCGCCGACTTGCTCTGTTGGCAGGTAGAGCCTGTGGAGGTCTCCTCAGTCCTCGCTGGCCTGGCTAGGGGTGGTGACCCTGCTACTGACGACACGGCATTCTCTCACCGTTCTCCGCGCTTGGAGACTCTGGTTTTCCGCCTTGGCGTCTTCGCCGCCTCTGCAGCATGTCGATGTGGACTCTGGTGCGGTTGGGGGTGGTGACGCTGGAGGTGTAGGCTCTGAGCGTGCTGGTCCTGGGGGTGGTGACTCTGGAGTTGCTGGTTTTGGGGTGCTGCTTCTGGGGGTGCTGGTTCTGGGGGTGCAAACGCATTCTAGTGGTGGTGGAGCCGAGGGTACTACTGCAGAAGAGACACACCTGCACAGACATGGGTGAGCTGCGGATCTATCTTGGCTTGCATATCATCCGGGACAGAGCAGCATGCACCATCACTCTGACTCAGTCACACATGGTGCTGCAGGTCCTTCAGCGCTTCCGCTTTCAGTTCTCCTCGCCACAGTCCACTCCTCTGCCTACGAGCCACTCGCTCTCAGCTCCACCTTCGGACAAGTCTGTAGAGCCAAGTGGTCCGTATGCAAAACTTGTGGGCTGCCGTGCACTCGACCTGACCTCGCGTACCCTCTCAGCATCCTAGCGCGCTACGTTGCGCCTCGGAGACACCACCCTGAGCACTACCGGGCTGCTACGAGGGTACTGCGCTACTTGTGCAGTACATCAGGCATGGGGCTTGTGCTTGGGGGACGGGGCCCAGTTGTGCTTACAGGGCACTCAGACGCTTCTTGGGCTGACAACCAGGCGACACAGCGGTCGTCACAGGGTTACACTTTTAGTCTCGTGGAGGTCCACTCACTCGTCTTCCGTGCTTAGCTCCAGTTGTGAGGCCGAGATCCACGCTGGGGCTATGGCTGCACAGTAGTTACGCTGGCTGGCCTACTTGCTGACCGACTTGGGTAAGCGGCCTCGTTCTCCTCCGGTTCTGTTCGTCGTCAACAAGGCCATGATTGCCTTGTGTCGGGAGCAAACACTGGAGCACAGAACGAAGCACATTGCTCTTTGTTACTCTCTCGCACGAGAGTTACAGCACCGTGGTCAGCTTTGCCTTGCTTACGTGGCCAACACTGCTGATATCTTTACCAAGGCCCTAGGGTCTTGTGATCATCAGCGTTTCTGCACTGCTCTAGGCCTTGTGCATACTCTGCCTCACTTGCTTACCTCTTGACTTTGCCTTGTACTATGATATATCTACCTGCATGCTTACTCCTGTTAGGTTGTCATCACTATATTGCTTGTGGTACTATCACCCTGCATGTGAACTGGCCTTGTAGCCACTTGCTTGTGCTCGGATTATGTGGTGATCTTGAGATCCACCCTGAGCGTTGCTTTGTTTCTTCTCATGACTGGTCTTGTAACATTTTGTTGTTCTCGCTATCTTTCACTTAGCCTATGGGGGTGTGTCAAAACATATATATATATATATATATATATATATATGTATATATATATATATATATATATTTGTGTTAGGCTATAGTGAGGC